GGGGGGGATGTTGATCAAGTTGTTGTTTTGTTTTGTTTTCAGTACAAACCACACATAAATATTCTTATTTTATTTTATGGACACAAAAGGTGTTGTTTGAGTTTGAATAAAGAGGAGCACATCGACAAAATATTAATAGTCATTAATTTAGTGCTGGAAAAAATAAGACAGACAGACAGAAACAGCAGAGGGGAAAGTAAAGAAGTAGGACCTACAAGTGGCTCCCTCCAACCACCCACTAAAAGGTGTTGAGCAAATAAACAAACAAACAAACAAACAAACAAACAAAAAACAAACTAAAAAACAACCAAACAAAACAACAACAACTACAACAACACCCCCATCCCCCCCCAAAAAAAAATTAAAAAGAAAAAGAAAAGATGAAAATTGACCAATTTGTGGAAAACATATTATTATGGGTCCCGACGCGGTGGAATCAGGCGCTCGTCAATTTTGGACATATTGTGGAGTTATTGGTATCATTCTTTAAGGCTTGTTCATTTGTCTTGCTTTATGTGGAGAAAAAAAAGGCTCATACATCATGAATAGAAGTCGAGATATTTTCGATTGAAGGAGGTGGGATTTGCCTTGTTTTAGAGGTAAAATAAGCGAGAAAATAGCTCCCAAAATCAGGTAACTTCCAAAGCTTGAGAGTCATTAGAAACGGCAAATTTACATTTTTGTGCCTTAAATCAACATAAATTGTCAGTAAAAATCCACCCAGACATGTGTATTTAAATGGACCTTAAAGGTCTTTAGTCAAAAAACAAAAATTCGGTAAAAATTGCCAAACTGGCGGAAAAATGCCTGTTTCTCCGATATCACTTATTCTTTGACGAGCGCCTCATTTCACCAAGATACCACGCATAGCGGCTCCTTACCAAAGAGTCCTCATGACAAGAGGGTCCACTCCTCTCTTTGAGCCAATAACAAAAGTGTCCTCAAAATTCGGTGGCGCCCTCTTTGCAAATGCGCACTCTTTGCGACCAGAGTTACCCTACTTGTGTAAAAAAAAAATCAAAGTGAAGCTAACAAGTTTTTGAATAAATAAGAATTCAAATTTCGGAAGAACGCTTTTTTAGAATGGTTGCGCTGACCAAAAAAAACCTCTTCCGGAGGAAAGGGTGACTGTTTTCTTCGTTTAATTTGAGTTTAGAATGAAAGGCAAGAGGTCATTAAAATGAAAAAAACCCACCTAAAACTCCGTACTAAACGAACCCGAACTGCTGATGAACAGCAGTCCTTCTGCGCACACAAGGAGGTGCTATTTCTAATTTTCTTCTGGAGAAACGAAAGAGAGCTTCAAAACAGACTGCAGCGCCATCTGAAGCAAAGAGCGAACTTCTGGCGGACACTTTTTTGGCCGAGTGGACATTCTTGTCATGTACTATCTTTGTCCTTACTTCATCATTCTCCTCTTCATTTCGTCTTTCAACTCGTCCCAGAAAAGAACTCGATTACTGTCCACGGACTGAAACATTGGTGTATCGACAGCATCGGGGGCGATCATTGCGTATTCGATTCCTTGGTCCGGACGAGTTGGGTCTTTCTGATGGAAAAAAAGAAGAATGAAGAATAAATCATCACAGTAGATAACAAAGTCATATCTGACATTTTGGAGAGTTTTAAGTTACTAAGGCCAAGAGGTCAGAAAACAAAACAATAATGTTCTATCTGCTCTATCAATATCGTTAAATTACTCGGACTCTTAGGAGGCAATAAGTAGCAGTAGAAAAGCTGCAGAAAGAGTCAGCAGCCCAGAGGAGGGGGGCAAAGGAGGTGAGGGGGTGTGGGCAGAAAGTGGAGACGAAAGCAGACGACAGAACATTGTTGGAGAGAAGGAAAGGAGGCGAAAGGAGAAAGTTTGAGGGAAGAACATTATTTTCGGTCGCTTTCCGGATTCGAACCCGGGATCTATTACACGAGAGGCAAACACTGTAACCTCTCGACCACTAGAGCCCAATAACAACCCGATAAGCGACGTTTTTCAATTTTTCTGGAGAGCCAAAAATTTTGTAAGTAGCGGGATGCGCAGGACGTGACTTCTGCACAAGAGTCAAAATGGCTTTCTGCGATTGACGATGTCAGGTTGAAGCCAAATCAGCCAAATTAAACCCTTATCCGTACGCCCTGGGGGTCATTTTGTACCCCTAGGGTTGTATTCTTCACATTTTAGAATACTTTTAGCGCGAAGATCTCTTAGAAACTTTCAGTATTTCCTCAAAAAGCATTTTGACAGACTGCTATGCAAAACGTACGGATCTGATTAACGAGTAAATTTCCTCTTTGGAAAGTGGTGGCACAGAGTTCCCCACGTCGTATGGATACGATCGTAAAACACGACGTACGGATAGGGTTAAGAGGTGGCACAGAGTTCCCCACGTCGTAAGGATACGATAGTAAAACACGACGTACGGATAGGGTTAAGAGGTGGCACAGAGTTCCCCACGTCGTATGGATACGATCGTAAAACACGACGTACGGATAGGGTTAAGCGGTGGCACAGAGTTCCCCACGTCGTAAGGATACGATCGTAAAACACGACGTACGGATAGGGTAAAGGAAATAACGGGTAAGATATGCCTTTGTCGTTATGTGGCACTGTTGCTCACTTTGTGCAATAAACCGACAAAATCATATGTCGTATTTTATCATTAAAATAATTGTATGTGGGGAACGTTCGACAAAGTTCCATATCGGACTATTGCACCAAACGACAAAAAAAGTCAAAATAAATGTCAAAATAGGAAAGTACTGGTGTGTCGGAATTTTCCTCACTTCTACTAAAAAGGAGTGTGAGTGCGAGTGTGTCTGTGTGCGTGCGTGCGTATGTTTGTACGTGTGTGTATGTGTGTGTGTGAGCACATGTGTGTATATGTGTGTATATGTGTGTGTGTGTGTGTGTGTGTGTGTGTGTGTGTGTGTGCGTGCGCGCGCATGGGCGGGTGTGTGAGTGTGTGTGCGTGTATATGTATAGATCTATGTTCCTCTGTTTTACTCACACACAAGCTGATTATGTTTAATATCTAAGTCCTCACTAAATGCGCTGTCGATGAGTAAACAGGAGTCTGTGCGTCTCTCTCTCTCTCTCTCTCTCTCTATCTCTCTCTCTCTCTCTGTGTGTCAGTCTCTCTCTCTCTTCTCTCTCTCTCTCTCTCTCTCTCTCTCTC